AGCGGGAGTGAGGACGGCGGAGTGAGGTTGTGGGACATCGACACATGCAAAGTCATCGCTAGATGGATGGGGCATACACAACGAGTGTTATCTGTCTGCTGGAGTCGAGATAGTCGAAGAGTGTTAAGTGGATCCCCCGATGGGACTGCAAGGCAATGGGGCGTGCAAAGCGGAGAGACAATCCTCCAGCCAATCGAGACTGGGCACACCTACTACGTGTGGGCAGCGGTCTATTCACCAGACATGTCCATGATTGCGACTGGTGGACGTGATGGGTCCTTGACTAACGGACCCGCCGCGTGCTCCATCAAAATCTGGGACACAAAGACAGGCGAGCTTGTCGCAACTCTCAAAGGACATACATGGGCAGTGCGTTGCCTGGCTTGGACCAAGGACGGAAAAACTCTTATCTCCGGGTCATGGGATAACTCGATTAGGACATGGAATACCAAAACATGGAAGCAAACTGCACTACTGGAAGCGCACACTTCCTGGGTCTTTGCCATTGCGATATCACCAAATGACCGCATCCTCGCAAGCGCATCATACGACAAGACAGCGCTATTGTGGAACCTCGACAATGGACAACTCATCGGTCCGCCTCTCCGGCACACAAATCTCGTTGAGTCCATATCATTTTCGGAAGATGGAAAGCTACTAGCCACTGGCTGCTACGACAGAAACGTGTACACATGGGATGTTGTTGCGATTGTTACAGAGGTCGGCCTCGACGACCTTCTTTTGGATCCAAAGGTGAGTCGATGTGCACGTCTCATTGTATATTCTCACAACTGAACGCGCTTTGCCAGGCCAACAAGTTAGCAGTCCATGTACGCAACACTTTCATCAAAAGATCTTGTTATTCTCACTATATACACTCTAGGATAGTGCTGCACCACCTCCGGTCCAACGACGTCCGCCTGCTTATCGGATACCCCAGGGTTTTTTCGACGGAGTTCCACCAAATCGTTCCCATGTATGTTAACACGATTCACTATCAATTTTATTTTATTTTCCTGACCTCTAGCATGTTCCCAGTCTTCTACACGAAGGCGTGCCGCCTCCTCAGTATCACCTGGCAGCACACTTCTCGGCCGTTTATTCCACCGCAACCGCAGTCCCTCCAGCCTGAGTGCTCGTGCTACACCACTGTCCTCTCCTCTCGACTGGACTCGAAACATTTTGAAACAGCGCAGACAAAGAGGTGAGGGCATCGAGTCTCAAGGACCCAGTCCCGCAGTTGTTGATGTCCCGTATGCGAAGGGCAAACGTGTATGTTCCTTCTCTTCCTTGATCGTCCTACACCACCTAATTTCACGTAGAGAAATGCTTGCGCGAGGGAGAAACGGAAAAAACTATTTCCTCCGAAGATACCCACTACCGCAAGTAGCTCACGGTCTCCAAAGCCCAATGCCACCCAGTCATCTTCGCAACAACAGGCTGCGATTTCTGGTTCATCCTCCACACCTCCCATTGGCGATGCTACTGGCATAGCCACGACCTCAACGACCTCACGCCCAGATGCAACGATAAGACAGGCTGGACTTTGGACTCGCTTCTGGCTTTTTCTCTGTTGTCTCTCTCCTGAATATACAGACGGTCATCATTAAATCTCCTCATCCTTCACGAGTCGCATGATTTTCCATCTCTCGACGACCTTGATATGCTTTACCTACTCTCTCTGATGTCTTTCGAGCCGTCTTTTATGTACAATATTGATACCATACAACTCATCACCTCTGTCTGCAATGTACACTACCTATTCATTTCTGCAGCTCAAGACTTGCCGTTGCAACTCGTGACGAATGTATATAAAATTCTAGCTGCATCATAATGTCAACAATGAACATGAACAATTTAATACGGGAGCGGAGCAAAAGACCCTGAGGATGTCTCCCTATCAAGTCAGGCTCAATGGATGCCGGTACCTACCAAAGCATCGCTAATCGAGGTTTGTTATCGTCCGAATCGCAAGTAGCGTCATCGAAACCAGATACCGAAGATGAAGATGGATTCGGGAATTGAGAATATCATATAGGTGTCGATGCAGATCAGAGCACTTACTAAGTCACTTCGTGACCCGTTGGGCTAGATAAAAACTCAAGTGGCATTATCACTAACGAACAATCATCTGATATCAGAATTCATTAACATCAGTGCAGTACAATGGTGTTGAAACAAAATCAAAAAATGCCATTTCATTCCACCTCACGTACAACCCCGAGCTGCATCGCACCTGCCACACGCATCGCACTGTGACATCACAGCCACACTCAACTCCTCTCACTCCCCACTCGTCAATCCAAAATTCAATACGGGAGCGGAAAGAAGGAAAGGTGCGATTGGGATCGCACTCACCTAACAATATTCTCCTAAAATCGTCATCTTTATATCAACACCGAATGGGACAGGTTCGATCAAGGCTGATATCAACAAATCGAGCAAAGACCCCACTTGCTCTCTCTCCTCCTGAATCGTAGCGAGCGTTAGAGGAGAAGTAGAGACAGACGCCAGAGAGCATTGAAACATGTGAATTTGCGTGGATTGGGGGTGGTGCATTTTCTGACGTGGAGAGGCTTATGTTTAGTTGGAGGTTAACTTGGGAAGAAGGAGAGGTTGTCATATCCCTAGTTTCGTTAGGTCTGTGTCATACCATCTGTTAGATCGAACACCAATCAATCCATGGGAGTATAATCACCGTTCGATAATAGGACGTGATGGAACGCACCATCTCGGGATCATCAAGCGCTTGTAATTCATCATCTTCAGCCTGCCTTTCATCGAGGTCTACTGTAAGAGCTTCTTTCATGAGTTGGGCATCTGGTTTACCGAGAATGCGATCGATGATTCCGTTGAATCCATAGTGAACACAGGTCAGTTTACAACACCCTTCGAGGCCATTAATGGCGGGTAGTAGTACGTCTCTCTGGTATATCTCGGAGGATGTCTCGCTTCGGAATACGCTCTCAGGAAGTAAAGGTACAACAGCTGCATGAAAAAAACGCTCGTCAATCAAAAACACCATACACTGCGTGTTGTCCAAAAATTCCGACGGCTTAGAGATGGCTGAGAATCTGGGGGTGCCTAAGGTTTCAGCCACGTCGAAGCCATCAAATATCAGTCAACTTCTACGATGTCGGAAATTTGACCCTTTAAATTACCACTGGTGTCAACAATGGCTCGAACTTAGAGCCACTCTCACCTGCGTACTATCTACGTTTCAGCTACATCCACCTGGACTCAGTTGTACATGACCTGCAGCTAACATATATATACGAATTATGAATGAAGCTGTGCCACACGGTAAGTGTTCAGATCAAGGTGCACGGAGTTTAAATTTACCTTGTTCTTGACGCTCGACAACTGTTGGGGATGACTGCTATATCATATTTCAAGTCCACACCTGTTCTCACTTATCATGGTTAGAATGATGTGGTATCTGACTGGGTACCCGACTACACCGACGAGGGTGCTCTCCAACGAAGACTAGCAGTAAGACCTACCCACTTCGAGAATATAAAAGCCTGCTTGCTGAGACTCTAACTACAGAACTCGAGCTATTCAATCCACACTTAATCTCAACTACTTGTCACCCCGACCCTTCGTCAGTAATTTGACTTTCCAGTTGTGAGTGTCCGTGAACTTGCTTTGCACAAGAATTTCACCCAACGTTTCGCAGCAACGACCTCGGCAAGGAGGTCACGATCATGCTCGCCTAGAGTCCCAACCTGGACAGTCTCTATGAGCACTTCTTTCTGATAGTTTGGAGGTAAGTGTGTATACTTCTGTTAGGGATTATTTAAAACCTTGCAATTGTTTCAGGGTCAGCAAATTCGGGAAGTCGGGTGGGTGTTCCTATTCTCTTGCTGCCAAGTTGCCGACTTACATATGAGCCCTCTTTCCAGGTCCATACTGGGCTACCGAAACTCACACAGCCCAGTAAGTAATGACAAGATCAATAGTCTTGAAAGTCGCTTATATATTGTATAGGCTTGCCGCTTGCTTGCTTCAGAGCCCAGGTCGAGAGTGGGAAGGCCATCAGCGCTGCGACCTCCATCAATATCAATGTGAGCAACTCTCATCTACTCTGAAATTGCTAGCACCAACGCGAGCCATAATGCAGAACAGCAAGAAAACAACCTTGACAAAAGCCAACAACGTCTATCATTTCTCTGTAAGTCTGGCTTCCGTTGATTTTTATCTTGACCCCCAATGAATACCTCGTGTAGCCTCTCCCTCGCCAGTGTGTGCGTGCATACAACTATGTCGCATATAGTCAGGCTACCAGAGGTGTAGCGAGCGGGTGGCATCGGCATTGTATTTCCTATAGCTACCATGTATTCGCAATTTAAATGGAATATTAATGCATATTCATAATATTTAAAATCATTATCAAATAAAGTGTACATCATATGCATGTGGTTTATTATATATATACGTATGGTGTCGTTTTGGACCCATAGTAGCAGCCGGCTCGAACTTGATGGCCAAACGATGTCTTCGAGGTGATTGAAATCCGGAAAATCAACCGTCTGGAAGCCGGTTCATACCATAGGTCCAGAAACGGCTAAAACTTGACCCTGGGGTCACATTCCAGCCAGGTATCTACCGTCGGAAATTTTTGACAACACGCAGTGATAGAAACTTGAATACGAGACTTACAATAATGATTAACGTAGCAATGACCCTTAAAGATACAACGATTGTCCAAGCTGCAAGACTCGCAGTGCGAAATTGCCTTGCTGCCGAATCCCCAGCGATGGCAACTGTCGTTGACCACGGAACATCCATAACCCACATCTATCCACAGGCCTCCATAACAAAATAAGGACAAGATTCACGATCGGCATCGCGATTATCAATACAACAAGACATCCTCTTGAGATCATCCTCGCAACACGAACGAACCTATCTCCATCTTCCGGAAGACGTGGTATAAAAAGCGTCACGACCACTCCCGTGACACTGATACCAGAAATAACGCAAAGCACGAGCGCAAGCGTGCGTGCGTGTACATCGCTCGTAAGAGCCATTTGAAATGCGAGGGAATAGCGGATCGTGCAGTATATAGCCCATATACCTCTTCACTATCCTGCGTGCTCCACAGTTTCCGTGCTTCTTCGGCCTTGGTGGCTGGATGAGTGTCGCCCAGGTATCTTCCACAGCGTGCACTGTGCAAATTCCCTCTGGTTACTTAGCGCATTCGTAGGATGATTACAGAGTTACAGAATGCCACGCAAGCAGTACACAGACTAATTATCAGTGTCTTATCACGATTGGAGCGCGAGCAAATCAAGTACGCTTCTTCTCGGCTGCCTTGCGCTTGGCCTCTATCTCTGCGGCCTTTGCTGCGGGATAGTCAGTATCATTATGAATGACTTGGGTGGACATCGCAGCGAACCTTCGGCTTCAGCCTTCCTCTTGGCTTGAGCAGCCTCCCGTTCCTCTTTGATCTTTCTAAGGCGAGCGAGATCTGACTTTGCTTCGTCGGTCTTTCCAGCAACATGTAGCTACAGTCGAAGGAGTAAGCCGAATGAAGACATGAGATGTTGCTCAAACTGACCTTCCAGTAGCGATCCTTGGCTTCTTGTTTCTCCTTCGCCTCCCTGAGAAATAGACAGTCAGTGACATTATTTCCGAGACGTGGATACTCACCTTTCTCTACGAGTTAGCTCTCGAGGTGCGCCAAGATCGGATATATTCATCTTCTTCTCGACATGGTTGGGATTTATTAGATCTGCATCTGTGTCACTCTCTCCCTCCGCTTGTTGTTTCTGGTCCGCTTGTTTCTTCTTGAGCGCCTTTCGCTCGGCACGACTTAGCTCAGGCTGTGCGACACTGCCGCTGGCCCCTTCTTCTTCTTCTTCCTCTTCTTCCTCCTCCTCCTCCTCTTCCTCTAATTTGTTCTCTTCGTCTGAGTCGGTCTCGCCCTCTTGATCACGAGGAGCCCTGATCAGGACAAACTATTGAACCGAATTCCATAATTATCTCCCATGAAAAACTCACCATCGTTTATCAAGCGACACAGCAGTTCCGTTCTCGTCTATTTCGAGGTGTTTGCTAAGTTAAACAACGCTATTCAGCGTTGACGATGGGATGACAACGGTGGGCGAATTGCACCTGAAATTCCTCCCTCCGCCACGCTTGGTCTTAAATTTACCTGTTCGATAAGGATTCAAGAAACGAATCTCTAATCCAGTCAAAATTGACTGTTACCTGAGCCTCTGACCATCTTATTCTCTTGGGTGTGATGTTGTGAGGAGTCAAGAGATCAGAAGAATCGCTTTCAGGCGGATAAGATAGATAACAATACTCAAATGAACTTAGGAAAAGCTTATGTCAGCAGCTCCACCCGGGGCCGCTTTGCAACAACGACGCTGTCAGTTACTAGTTCAGGCCGACCATGACCACAATACCCTCCCGACTCGCGCAGATGACGCGCATCTCAAGTAGCCGCACAGAAGCGCGCCTTCGAGTTATTGACCTATATAGAGCATGGGTCCGTGCTGTACGTTCGTCACCGACTGAGCTAGCTTCCTACCCGACATTAACCGAACGATCTTCAAGGCTCCTGAGATTTGTACAATCTATGCGTTGAACGTCACTCCAACCTACCTGCGCCAATCAATTCGCCAGAAGTTTGAGCAGAACCGCCATGTAACAGACCAGCGCGCCATCGAGGTGTTACTGCTCAAGGGCCAGCAGGAATTGCAGGAGACGTTGAACTGTTGGAAGCAGCCGGACCATATATATGGGATTATACTCCAAAATAACCAACGGCCACACCGAACATTCCTGCAGAAGTTCTATGAGGGTGAGTTTCACTCCTTTTCCTTTCATTCGATCCCACTCATGCTATATACCACATTAGGTCGTGACGAGGATGCTGTTCTTCCCGCTGCATCTGGCACTGTATAGAACATAGATGAGAATGATCTTCAGTACCGCCTTCTCCTTTCGAAGCATCGATTGCGTAGATTTACACGTCAGTGTTGGGTGGATAATGCACCTGCCAGTTGCGGCCATTTTGCTGCCTGAAGTTTTCAGACCGATCAGAAAACATCCAACTGTTTCAGCCCACCTCCCGGTTTTAAAGTGTGACCTGCACCCCGGCGCCTACACACTTTGCAAGAGGGTATACCGAGCAGTGATTGTTCGGTGTATCAACGGTGATAGATGTGACAAAGCAAATATTATTGACAACATTGCTGAAGATACTACATATCGGTTGGCTAGTGTGTTAGTAAGTGTACGTATATGATTGATACATGGCGCAAATTCCTTCGCGAGCGAACAATATTCAACATGGTCATGACAGGCAGTCAAGCGGGTCCGGCTCGCTATCGTCGATTCGATGCAACGTAGCGCTTGCCTTAATGCGGTCTAGGACATCCTTCGGCGGACCTCTGGATTTTGACTGGGAATTGGGCTATAAATCGGCTTGTGAGAAAAGATTAGGACACTGGTTATATAAATAAAACCGACCTTCACCGTCCTCGGCTTTCTCGATGGAAGGGCGTTCTCTTTGTGTTTCCCGGATGAGATATGCACGCTGAAGTCGCAGATTATGGGAGCGCTCAGCCAGTTTTTACAATAGGACGTACCCTGGCTTCGGTTCTTCATCAAATCTTGCCTTCTTTGAAACAGGTTTCTTAGGCATGTGATCTTCATCATCCGATTCCTGTGGGTGCGCCTTCTTCTTTGTGTCTTGTTTCATAGCCGAATGAGGTTTCTTGACAGCAGTGTCTTCGGGATCAGATTTCGATACCGCAACGGAGTTAGATAAAAGCAAAGATTTAGCGCTTTGGGATTTGGACACTTTCGGCTTCTTGAGAGGCTGTTTCACATCTCCACCAACATCGTCATCAGGTGCACTGCGCTTGGGGTTAGTGGTCGACCTCTTCATGGGGATATCAACGGTCAGAGATCCATAAACTTTGGTTTTCACCAAATCTGGAGACTCGTCGACCTCCGTCCGCTTTGAACATTTCGGTACCCGAGAAGCATATATCAGCTCTGCTGTTAAATGAAGGTGTTGAGATGATGTTTGCAGTGTTGCATACATGTATAAAGATATTACCTTCATCCGAGTGCTCCTTGCGAATTTCTGTGCGTTGTTTGGCTTGTGCCCGATTAAGTGGAGCATCTTTGGCAGAAAGCCGTTTGTGAGCAGACTTCGGGACCGCCCAAGGCTCAGCGGCTGCAGGTTTGTTGTCAGGCATGGGCGTACCCTCATCGTCGGGTTCGATTGTGACGACGACAGGCTTCCTTTTAGAGTGTGTCTTTGGTCGAGGAGCTTCTACCAGGGTGCCTTCGTCGTCTGATCGAGGCACCTCTGCCTTGCTTTTGACTTTAGGTATGTCGGGTGGCTTTTCCTTTGACGTCCGCATCTTGCGGTTTGATGATTCAGGATCAGCGTGGATATCTGGGTGAATGAGCGTCTACATATGCAAAAAGATGATGATGATGAACGTGCCATGATCATTAGCTTGAGATTTGGTTTTCGGTGGCCGTCCTCGGCGGTTAGAAGCAGGTTTGACTTTGGTTGTTTCTGCTTCTGAGATATCGTTGCCTGACAAGTGGTATGGGAAATAATCTGAACAGAATGAAAGAGAAACTAACCGTCAGTAGCTTTGACCTTGTCTTTAACCTTGCGAGTAGTAGGACCTGCTTTCTTCTTTGTCTTCACCTTCGAGATTTTACCTCCGGACTGAGTAGAGGGACCTGCACAATGATCGACCGATGACGTTGCGCGTGAAGTAGTAATACACACCTGCCGCAGCGTTTCTACTGACCAGACCCGCTGGCGCCTCCGTGTTGACTTTTGAGCGTGAAACCTTGTCATTGATAGGACTCCCTTGGGCTTTACTGGCCGTCTTCTTGCGTGACTTCATGGCCACTTTTAAAGGAGACTCTCCAGAAACGGTGCGGGCCAACAGGATATCTTTGAGGACATTCTTTTCCGAGGGAACAAATGCACTGCAGAGGGCGATTGGGGTGAGTTCAGTACATATGGGTAGTAGGTACTGTGTGCTGACCCTCCACGATCCCTAAATCGTGCCTGCTGTCTCTGAAGGCGCTGGGCCTTGCTCTCCTCCACAGTTACAGGTAGCATCTAGAGCTCACGAAGAAGTAGAAGATAGAGAAAGCTTAGCGTGTCCATGTCAACTTTGAGACTTCAGAAACTAGAGTCATGTGACAAGTGAAAGTCAATCACGTGATACGCGATTGTCCGACAATCAGGTATTTACGAACTAAATTTCGTCGGAATGTCTCACAGCAGTATACAACGATATTGAATCCTACGGAGTAACGAAAGACTCTTGCTTCGCAGAAGGACTGTTGCATCCTCTATACAAGAAGAATGATAGACGGGAGATCCATCAGCAAAACCCTGATTTGGGTACAGCGCCACAGCCACACAGCGTGTCACAGGTCATAATTTTTTTTTTGCAAAGGCTCTGCAGCATCACAGAAGTACTAATTCTATGTAAAAATAAATGTAATGTAGTCATAAATATATATACAACATGATGGTATACTAACAATTATGTTTTATTGAGAAATTGTGTAGTGCGCAGCACTGTGCAGCGCTGTACAGCGCTGTGCATGGGGGGACCTTGCTGTGACGCTGTGATGCTGTGCAGGGTTGTGCAGCGCTGTACATAGGGTTAGGGTTTTGCTGATGCGCCTCACAAACTATAGGCCAATCACTCTCCTGAACAGCGACTATAAAGCACTCACCAAAGCACTAGCCCTTAAACTCGCGAGGACTGTACCACCAATTATCCACGAAAACCAAGCTGGCTTTGTACCGGGTAGAAGCATCACAGATCAAATTCGCCTAACCCAAATGATTATGGAGTATGCTGAAGTCAAAAAGGAAAACAGCGTAATTGTAGCGCTGGATCAAGAGAAAGCCTACGACAAAATAGCACATGATTATCTGTGGAAAGTTCTAGAAAAATTCGACTTACCAAAGAACTTCATCAAAATGGTTCAATCTCTCTACAGAGATGCCGAAACTTCTATAATGATTAATGGTGAAATCAGCGCCAAATACAAAGTGACAAGGGGTGTAAGACAAGGAGACCCCCTGTCGTGCCTCCTGTTCGATCTTGCAATTGAGCCACTAGCTGAAATGTTAAGACAATCAAACTTCACAGGCTTCAAAACCAAGGAAATGGCTTACCGCATCGTGGTAACAATGTTTGCTGATGACACGACCGTCTACCTAACAGAGAAAGATGATTTCAAAGCACTAAGCAGCATCCTAACAGGCTGGTGCAGAGCGTCTGGAGCGAAATTCAACACCTCAAAAACAGAGGTGATCCCAATTGGTTCTAGAGAATACCGAAACAAAGTAATAGAGTCCTGGAGAATCAACGACTCACAAGAAGCTCTCCCATCTAACATCGACATTGCCAGAGATGGCAAAGCTACGAGAATTCTCGGTGCATGGATCAGTAATGGAATAAACGAGCAGGCTATATGGTCTCCAGTCCTAGAAAAAATTGAAAGCACGCTCCAGAGATGGGAAAGATGGCACCCTACCATAGAAGGGAGGAAAATTATCCTCCAGCGAACCATTGGAAGCATGACTCAATACTTAACCACCGCACAGGGAATGCCGAAAGACATTGAAGAACTCCTGAGAACAAAAACTCGTAAATTCATCTGGGATAGCAGAGGAAGTAACTCAATTAGCATAGACACGCTGTGCACACCAATAATGGAAGGTGTTACGCTCAGCGTTTGTGAGACGTCTTAATGTTCAAAGGTTACAAGTAAAGTCGATGTTCTGGTAGAGATGAAGCTAGATTGCAGGCCCTGGTCTGCGTAGGTCAAGTTAAAGATACAAAGCGTAGAGTAGCGAGTATATATAAGGTTCTTGAAGCGGAGCTTGAATATGAACAGTGAATAGGAAAAAGAGTAGAAACATCGTACGATAGAATGTGATAGAATGTCATGGAATGATTAGTAAATAGAGTGAAAAGGTGAAAAGGTGAAACTGTAACATTACCCCCGTTTTAAGGGTAGTAAGCCCAGATTACTACAAAATATTAGAGACGGTGTGATCGTTTATAGAAAGAAAGAATGTCTGAAGCGTTACCCAACTGTTCCTCCATCATCCACTCGTTTTCGGAACTCGGGAATCCTTTCCACTTTACATGATAGGTTCGGCGACATGCCGTGCCGCGATGACCGATAATAGCTTCTACTTCGTATTCCTCTTCTCCGTTCACAATATCAGGGGGTGGAGCGATATGATTGGGGCCATGTACATCGTTTTCTTTATATGGTGAGAGAAGAGCGGCGTGGAATACCGGGTGAATACGCCATTGGTTAGGGAGTTTTAATTTATACGTGATGGGGGAGAGGACTTGGGTAATGATGAACGGCCCTTCCCATTTCGGGGCGAGTTTTCGATTAGGGTATCTGAGATGAAGGTTTTTGGCTTCTAGCCATACCTTATCGCCTATAGAGAATGGTACGAATTTGGACGTGATTTGTTGACGCATAGTGTTACGTGCGAGTTCGTGAGCGGCTAGCGCTTCGTCGCGTGCTGTCATATCCCACATTCCGGACCAACATCCGACGACATTCCCATGCCTCATCTGGACCTCCGGACCTCCTGTCCATGTCTCCAGACCCAATCCTCTATCCGTCCGGATCCCTGTACTCCTGCATCTGATATCCAGACACCAGATCTGATATCCACATCTCCGGATCCTGGATCCGACCTATGCTTCATATCCTAACCCAAACCTTAAATCAGCGCCCATCCCCTTATGGTAATCACCTGTCTCCGGACTCCGGAACATCCGGATCCGACCCGCATCTATCTTCCATGCCTTTTCCCTTTGTGCGTTCCTTCTCAAGTTAGACTATACTCATTTTCCGTACCTCATTTCATCTCCGAGTTCATTTCCTATGATCCGTCTTATTTTCTAATACATTTCCACATGCTCATACATAGCCTTACCCCTCTGCTTACTGATCTGCACAGACTTGCCTCTAGTATATAAACCCCAGTAGATACTCCTGTATTTCCTCAGTCTGAATATCATACACATATTAGTCCTCGCACTAGCCTTCACCCTAAGTCCTCGTAACAGTTCTAGTCCTCCGACTTAGTCATTATCCATCTCAGGCCTAGGGAGGAATTCCCTAGGCCGGAGCTCCGCTCCTCCACTCATCCGATCCTCCATTCCTCCGAGTTTCCAGAAGTTCCTCCGGAACTTTCCCGCGGTCCTCCGGACCTATTCTGCTTCGGACTTTGTCCTTGCAGCCTTTCCTCTGTTTGCTTCTACTCAGGACTTGTCCTGAGTAGCCATTACACATATCCCCGTCAGGACAAAACTCCATCGTAATTTCCGGAAGTTCCTCTGGAACTTTCCCGCACTCATCCGGAAGTTTCTCGCACTCGTCCGGAAAGTCCTTCCGAAGTTTCCCACGCTCCTCCGGAAGTCCTTCGGACTTCACTGGACTTTCTCCGAACTTCATTCTGAAGTTAAGGGCACATACTCGGGTAAGGGGCGCAGCGCACGAGCTGAAGCCAAGCCCCTTGGAATCAGTCCTACCCTTTGTGCACGGTCTTAACACGTGCTTTATTTAGCATAAGGAGTCGTTGTTCAATATTAGGGATGTCGGTTTTAGGATGTGAATCGGGAAGGTGTTTTGGGTGATAGCCCATCATGAGGTAGAATGGGGAGGTGCCGCGAGCGGAATGGTGTCGTGAGTTGTGGACGAACTCAGCGAGGGGGAGCATGGCGGCCCAACCTGTTTGGTCATTGGCACAAAAGATTCGGAGATAGACTTCGAGTTCCTGGTTTACTCGTTCAGTCTCTCCATCACTTTGGGGGTGGAATGCGGTGGAAAGGGAATTCTTGTATCCGAGGAGTTTTCTGAGTTCGAGTTGGAATCTGGATGCGAATTGGGGTCCGCGGTCTGATATAATTTTATCGTAAAGTCCGTATCTAGAGAACACTTTTGAAAAGAAAACGTTTGCGACTCCTTCAGAGTCTATCGTCTTGAGACAAGGGGTGAGAATTACCCCCTTCGAAAGTCCATGGTCTACCACGACCATGATAGAGTCGAACCCATCAGATAATGGGAGGTCGGTGATGAGGTCTACTGAGCAGTGGGCAAAGGGTCGGTTGGAAATGGGAGCGGGTATAGGGGAGAGAGGAGGGTGTGAGGGATGCGTGTTGACTTTGTTCTGTTGGCATACGCTACAGCCTTCGACATAGTTTCTTACGAAGTTCGAAAGGCCTGGCCACCAGTAGTCTCGCGATAGGAGTTCCTGGGTTTTGAACCGTCCAGGGTGCCCTGCGGTAGGTGAGTCGTGATGGAGGGAGGTGAGTTCGTGGTGGAGTTCGCCGGGGGGTACATAGGTGAGTCCTTTATAAAGTAGAATTCCGTCGCTCAATTTCCAATCGGAAAGAGCCGAGCGGAGTGGAGGCGGGGTTTCTGGGTCCGTAAGCGCTTTTAGCACTGTATGTACTACTGGGTCCATGAAGGAAGAAATACGTAATCTGTCCGTAAAAGAAGAATCAATGACGTTGATAAATAATGAGTCAGGAAGTAATTGGATGGATGTGTTGTCCTTTTCGTCGCTATCGACCGGAAGGTGATCCGCTCTACGAGATAATAAATCGGGTATGATTAAGTCTTTGCCCCCTACCAGCAGTATTCCCAGCGCATCAGCAATGACTTGGGCGAGCTGAACAGCGCGCCCAAAATAGAAAAATACCCGGTAAGTCTGACACTGTCATCACTCCCTCGGCAACTGATGCCGGTGACTAAATTAGGCTTTCGACGCTATCAACATTCACACCCCGCCATCACTAAACGTTACTGCACACTTTGCTCATCATTTCCAACAGTGAGCTCAATATTTTCCCTCTCCCACCATCGTTTCTCACCAGATCCTTGTTGCATCTTGCGTGTGGGACAGGGGACGACACATATCGCCCATCTACGCTATTTTTCCTGCTGTAGGTTCAGTCCTCCCTGCGCTCTTCAACTTCAATGGTGAGCTCAATGTGTTTCCTCTCCTGCCATCGTTTCTCACTGGATTCTTGTTGCATCTTGTGCATTGGACAGGGGACGACATTTATCGCCCATCTATATTGTCTTTCCTGCTGTAGGACCAGTCCTTCCTGCGCTCTTCCACTTCAATGGTGAGTTCAACATTTTTCCTCTCCCGCCATCATTTCTCACTGGACCCTTGTTGTATCTTGTGCGTATAGACATTCATCACCCATCTACGTTTTTTTTCCTGCTGTAGGACCAGTTCTCCCTGCGCTCTTCAACTTCAATGGTGAGCTCAATATTTTCCCTCTCCCGCCATCGTTTCTCACCGGGCCCTTGTCGCATCTTGTGTATTGGACAGTGGATGACATTTTTAAGCTATCTACATTGTTTTCCCCACAGTAGGATTATTGTCGAATGATAACTACACACTCCCAAGGCTCTCGCTCCCTGCGTTGTCCTGCTCGTTGTCCTGCTCGTTGTCCCGCCCTTCATCTTCTGTGTCTGTGTCACAGACTGTTTGGGCACTCTTGGTACTGTTAATGTTACGTCGTTGTCTGGCTTTGCGTGGTTTGTAGACTCGTTCACCATTTGCTTGACGCTCGTGGTTATCGCTAATGCGGTCTGACAACTCCTCATCAGTCAACAAAATCCAGCGGCATTTGTCAGTGACTAATGCATTGAGCAGGGTGATTAAACACTCTCGACGGCCAATTTTCCCAGGGTTGCAAATGTTCTTCTCGTAAGTCCATCCATCCATTGCGACCGCATAAACCTCTACGATCTTCTTCTCATAGTTGTCGTAGTTCATTGGCACCTTCTTCGATGTTAAGTGGTGCTTTTGCAAAATATTATCTGTATGACATATTAGGCTAATAGAAAGATATTATCATTGGCACGTACCCAACCCATCTTGAATGTTTTTTCTGCACAAACTGACTAATCGTGACAACAACAACCTGTTTGTGGCACGTGCTGATGACTCTGAAAGTGTAATGTCCATTCCTCGGCTCAAACACAGAAACGATGCTGAATCAAGCTGTGCATACCAAAATCTCCGACCGCCCATGACTCAAACTTGAGTGCGAGATGCTTGGGTTCGAAATGTAGTACATCCTTGATGAAGGACTTGGCCTTAGCGGTGAGGAATATTTTAGCTTCGTGGTAATGTTCTAAATCTCCCCGAACAGCAATGTAGAAGCCTTCGACCGAGGTACGTGCATGTATAGCTAACCACTGCATGACGCTCAACCATGTTGAATACAGTGACATTGTAAGTAGACTGACCTCTTTTTCCATGGTGCTGAAGGTTGAGTTTACGTCCTTTATTAGTGCTTTTGGATTCGAACGGACTATGCTAATCCGTGTCGCACGCAACTCGTCGATACCAAGCCTCAGTTTAGTTTTTTCAGCCTCCAGCAAACGGCTATATTCCCGCAGAAGCTTGGTGGGATTCGCAGCAATGAACACTGGGAGTCTGTACTGTTCCCCAGGCCCACGAGCTGGAGAAGAAATATATAGATAATTGATACCTCACGAGGTGTGGTACGTACTCTCATTGGCTTCATTGAGTTTTACGCTCATGAAAGCATTCCACGAACTGGCCTTGCGCCATTGTCGTGTCAGTCGGCCACCATTCAGTTGGGCTCGTGTCCATTTCAAAGATCTTTCAATAGTAAGATATGTATGTATGTTCTTTCTTTGTGTTGTGGAATACTGACCTTCCATAATCTTGAGATATAGCCCGTGCTTCCTCGTGGTAGGCATCTTGTGCAGTCCCAATGGCATTTGTGAGATTGGTGAGCTTCTGACGCTGTTCTGCTTTCTGTGTGCTAGTGAGCTTTGCACGTGTACGCTTTTGAGTCTGGAGGACTGCCATGGTTTTGATATGTGGGAGGGGGGGACTTGCTATCAATGGACAACAAAAAATTTTGTACTTATGAATCATCTTAGAATTAATCAGAATATTTACTAGAAAATTTGAGTTGTTGATAGGACAATATAACCTGAGCTCGGCTGCAATCAAAATTTTGGAGTTCCTATTACACAAAGATTTGAGTTGTTGATACAATATAACATTATGGACATATTGATCTACTGAGCTAAACTAAGCTCGGCTGCAATCAAAATTTTGGAGTTCCTATCAGTTTCTCACTCGGTCGATGTGCATCAGGTGCACAACACCATTGATAGTCACAGAGTACGTTCCTTGTACTCCTGTGATTCCTTGCAATACAGGTGTACCAGGTTCAGCATGGTACGGAGGAGGAGCACCATAAAATACTAGAAGTTATTGTAACTCAGATATCACGACATGATGGTAGGGCAACTGTAAAACATACCATCATTCATTTGAGTATTAGTGTGTGCTCCAGTATGAAGTTCAGACATTGACACATCCTGAGACAATGCTGAGACCGCATGTGTGTCAGCATCTTCATTGCGGCGCCTGTTGTCTTGTTCGGAATCCTGCTTGACGGAGATTATAGAAGTATTAAACAAAATTATAATGTCCGGTAGAACTTCTCACCTCTTCTGATGTTTCTGTCTCTGACTCAACAATAACAATCGGCGAGCGCACTGAGGGACCTGGTGCTCGCCGAAGACGAGGCGCTAAGGAAGCTTGCGCTGGCCGAAGACGAGGCACTGGGGGAAGTGGTGCTGGCCGAAGGCAAGGCACTGAGGGAGGTGGTGCTGGCTGAAGGCGAGGCGCTGAGGGAGGTGACACTGGCAAACTTTGGATATCGAAATGTACTCGCTGGCGGGACCGACTACTAGTACGTTCCTCTGAGCGATTAGTGTTGAGAGAAGGGGCTAGTGCATGTGTAGCCAGCGTGGAATGACTGGTGTGGATGGGCTGGTCAGGGTGTCGCTGATGTTGATATTTGTGATGGGAGCAGCAGGGAGTGGTAGGCACTGTCCTAGCATGATGGGTAGTGATGTGTGATGAGCGCGCAGGCAACTCAAAAACCGCTGATGCACGGCTACCGTGCTGGAACATGTTATTTTCCTCTAGCACAATGTCTGAATCAATAACGGTTGCGATGAATGTTAAAAACCACTCACCAACAACCCAGCCACCAGTCTCTTGATTCAAACGAGGTAAAGTTGGGCTATTCCAGCTGTGGCTAAAAATTTTGTTGTACACCGTGACTGCAATTTGCTGGGTGAAATTTTCTTTCATAAGGTTGATCGCATTCTCGGTCTCCACATCCGGGAGCCTGTCTGGATCCTGTTCGTGTAGGTTCCTCGACCTTGACAATTTTAGGGCGATGGAGGGATGGCGAAAAGTTCTCGAGTGACGATCCCAGTGTGAGAGCAAGATCTGCGCCTCTATTTTGAGGGAGAACGACATCTAGATAGAAAATAATGAAGTGTTTTAGTTGGCGGAACAGCAGGCAGTATTAATGACTATAGAACTCACTGTATTGTCTCTATGGCCTGCAAGATCAAGCCAATGAAGATCGGGCAATGCTGAACAGTCAATAACGTCGAAGGTAGTACTATGTGGCATTGAAGAGAGGTAAGGAGTAACGAGTCCAGATTGAAAACAGGAACCGAACGACTGTAGACTAATGAAATTGGCGCCTTAATGGAAATGATTAATACAAGTCTGAAGTCATGCAACTGAGAAATCATACTGGAACACGAAGCATATAGACATCGAGGTAGTCAGATGAGCAGCTGTGGCATGGTTGATGGAATTAGATGTACACTGGCAGATACTCCAAAGTACTGCAACTAGTAGCTTTGAATGTGTTGAGAACGATCTAATACTGGTGTATGGCGCCGCTTACCAGATTTGAAACATATTCAAGGTCAGTCACTCACAAAAACTTTGGATGCGGCTATCCTCATAAAAACTTGGAATCCAGGTAAGTTACCTTCAGCAAGAGCAACACCAAGTCACTCACAAAAACTCGGAAGGTAAGTCATCTTCAGCAAGAGCGACACCAAGTCACTCACAAAAACTTGGAAGGTAAGTCATCTTCATTACTAAGAGTGACACCGAGTCACTCACAAAAACTTGGAAGGTAAGCCATCTTCATTATTAAGAGTGACACCAAGTCACTCACAAAAACTTGGAAGGTAAGTCATCTTCATTACTACTAAGAGCAACACCGAGTCACTCACAAAAACTTGGAAGGTGATTATCTTCATTACTAAGAGTGACGCCGAGTCACTCACAAAAACTTGGAAGGTAAGTTATCTTCCTTTATCTTCATTAAGAGCGACACCAAGTCACTCACAAAAACTTGGAAGGTAGTTTCTCTTTGTATATTCAATTTCGAAATATATTCTAGATAATACAAGATTCCAAGCGGTCAACTTCATCAGATAGATCGTCAGCCTCGTCAGCCTCAATGCTCCTAGCTCCCCTCAGATCTGCCATCATTTCAGCTGCATCCCCTTCATCAATCCCCCTCTTCTCCACCCATCTCAACCCCGAGTAACCAGGTAGCTCGTAAATCGCATCAATTCTACCACAATGCACATCATTGACCCGCTTGCGTTCCTCGTACACGCAGCAGATCTCATGTGAGAGTGCTGGGTCTGACTCCAGCAATGATTCGAAGCTGGACTGTAAGTGGGCATCTTCATCGTCAACCCAAGCAGCAAGTCGTCCCACCTCGATGTTGAGTCGCTGAATCTCTTCGCGAGCACGCAAAATCTTGAAATAATGATTAGCAACCTCACGATTTACTTTTGAAGCCCAAGGCTTCTGGAGTAAATGATGGCGCAAGTGCTTCAAAAGGTCAAATTCACCCAGCCAAGCATAAGACGCAATATCGCTGAATTCTAGCATTTCTCGCGGTGGTGTCTGCACAGGGGCGAGTCGGTTGTACCTTTCGAGCACTGTGCGAATAGCTGCTGACCGGCGACTGATAGCACTTGAAATGTGCTGGCGAAGTTTGTAACCTCCGTAGTTTTGTTAGAACAGCATCAGGTGAATAAAAAGGATGCATACCGGTACCTGCAATATTGGCCTTAGCCAACTCAAAGAGCCTTTGGACGACGAGGCCCTGCAATTGCTCAATCACCCGAATAAACTGTCGGTTAGTAAGATAGGCTAGGGCTTCCTTGTATTTCGGATCATCTGGCTGCCATCGTTCCGTAATTGCCATGCGACGCTCAAGATCATCAACAGCATTCATTTCGACAAGCAGCTTGCGATAAGCTGCATTCCGTTCTGCCTCTCAAGCTCTGGCAAACACTTGTTAGTCCTTTTGTAGACCATGAGAAAGCGTGAAGTCCGCTGGCATATACGTTAAAAATTGAACCGTTGTGATGCTACCATATGCGGCCCTAAAAAGAGGCGCATCAGTACAAATTAAATTCTATCAAATGTTACTCACTGGGCTCTCATTAGCGATTCCAATGCCTCCACGTAAGCCATAGCTTCGACGTCTTCATCAGATTCTTCTGCCATACTCTCCAAAAAGTCAAGTTCTTCGGCATTCCAGTGCTCAAAGTCAACATCTGTAATCTTCAGTGCCAACTTGAGCTCTTCGACAGCGGGAGTAAGATCATTGACGATCGCGAGTGCTTGTTTATAATTATTGTACAAGAATTTACCTAAAATTTAGTCAATCTCACTTCCAGAATATCGAGGACTTAAAATGCCTTACTTAGCTCGAGATATCTATCAGCGTCCCATTGCCGAAAGTGAAGATCGACGAACTGGAGCCAATGAAAGTAAGAGGCATGGTGGATAACTGGAGCAACAGTGTTTGATCCCGAGAAGACACGCTCACACGTCTCAAGGTCCTCAAGACCGAGACCACGTCGGTACAGAGGGTGAAACCGAAGTTGACATCGGTGGTTGTGAGCACGGCCATGAAATGAGTTGACGATGAACTGATGTTGATGGGAGCGTGCCTTAGCGGAGATTGAGCTAGCATTCACAGTTGTCTGATAGGAACAACCAATGTCGTATCCTGTTGCTCCATTTGGCCTGTAAACGTCGAGAATCTTATTTGTGGTTGCAAGAGCGTATTTTGCACTACAAAGAAATTAGACATCAAATCGTGAATAAAAGGCAGGGACTTACAGCTCCCCACTCCGCCGCATCTCAACTATGGTCTGGACCATACCATGGCGACACGCACTTATGAATATACTGGTTTGCTCGAAAACTTTAATGGTGTTGTCGGTAATCGTATTTGCTGTCTTCCAATTATCGGTGCAAACAGACTCTGTAGCATCAGCTGGAGTAGAGTTTTCTGTGACTTTCCGGGTTCCTGGTCGGAGTTGAACATCATCCTTGAATCTGTCAACTTCGGAAGCAGGAATCAGATACGACGATCTAAAAATGCGCTCGTCTGCATGCCCAGAACCATCGACCCATTTGAGTGAGCTGTTTCCATCAATACTATCCATCCTCCGAGGAAGTAGAGTCGACTTGTTCTCTTGCTGTAGTCCATTCGATTATTTCTCTACAATGCGACAATACACTACATACCTTGTAATCACACGCAGGGCACGTATGGAGCATGCACCAGTCAGGACTGTCTCGTTTCAATGCTATGTTCACTCTTTCTTGAACATGCCGTAAAATGTCGAGATACACATCAAACGCAATCGCAAATTGATCACGCAGAGCTTGAAAGTATGAGCACTGAATCATAGAATTAGAATCACAATAAATTAAGGTACCAAAAGAAATTACGTGCGTTATGAAGTGCACATAGAACCTTGACCATAGCCTGTACGCTAAATGATGGTTTCCATCGGCGAATCTGATGATACAATTCGAGGCACTTGAGAGAAATGGCTATGGTGGGCTGGATGGGAGAGCAACCGATGAGTCCCACATTGATAAGCGAAACATTGGCTGGTTCCTCGGCAGCTTGAGGGATGGAGATTGAAGACATGGACACTATGATTAGTGAGATGCTGTAGCACTCGAGCTCGCGCTAGGCTCGTATTCAGCTGATTCACGATTCATGTCTAATGCCCATTGCACAATAATAACTTCCCGTTCAATCCGACACTTTGACATCGGACCCGACACTTTGACTGGCGGACCCGACGTTTCCCGCGCATCGGACCCGATATTTTCCTGCGCACTTGTCCTATCTGTGTCCCATCCTGTCTTGCTAGCCCCACTAGGTGCATAGTTCATTATTTCGCACATTACTCACATCGTAGCCAGCGCTATTACATGTTTTCCCATAGTCCGCAGCGCCTCATGTTTATTTACATGTACTTCGGATCCGAAATACTCCGCCACTACTTTCGCCTACAGGTTCTGCATTTCTACGTACTTACATATATATTGGACTGACCTCGAGCATTATTCATTATCCAAGTAGTGGGGAGCCGTTCTCCAACGCTTTGTGGTCAAACCCGATATTTCGTAGTTTTTAGTTGACATTGCGAATATGGGCACTCTTTCTATCCGAAATAACTGTTTTTATCGATATTCACCGCATACCGCTCGCTTTCCCGACATTCGTTGTCATTATTCTCTGTAGTCCGCTGAACCCGTACCCGAAACCCGCTAGTCCACTAACCCAAAAACATCGGATCCGACGCTTTGGCGTCGGACTAGTGATTATACCTCCGAACTTTGTTTCCCGTGCTCGGACTTTTGATCACTTATCATTTCACTGTTTTCAGACTTATTCCAGATAGCTAACCCCTCGGGTCGAACGCACTTGTCTACAAGTATAGCAGACTAAGCCGCGCAAGACCACAACATTTTGATATTCACTGCAGGCATTTTCCCATTTTCCTCCACCAAACATTCAAAAAACATTGATTGAGAAGATAGAAATTTCCCCTCATTTTTCCTGTCAAAACATTGAAAAAAAGTAATTCATGTTTCAATGATGTTCTGTGTGTGGGACATGATGCAAAAATTGGACATGTTCCTTCAAGGATAATGCTGTATTTTCCATGTATTGTCTTTGAAATAACAGCTTAAAATAATGTTCATTTTCTTCTCTGTGTTTTTCAAATATACTATGTTTTTCAAATGTTCTGTGTATATTTGAAAAACACAGAGAAGAAAACAAACATTATTTTAAGCTGTTATTTCAAAGACAATACATGGAAAATACAGCATTATCCTTGAAGGAACATGTCCAATTTTTGCATCATGTCCCACACACAGAACATCATTGAAACATGAATTACTTTTTTTCAATGTTTTGACAGGAAAAATGAGGGGAAATTTCTATCTTTTCAATCAATGTTTTTTTGGATGTTTGGTGGAGGAAAATGGGAAAATGCCTGCAGTGATTGCTGATTACTTACTTTGTGTAGTATCCAGCAATTGTTGTCTCGTTACAACGCGCAGTTGGGTTATGTAGGAATAAAAAACGCACCAAAAATATTGATGGTACTGACCTGGAACTCAAATGACCCAGGATCAACTGGGGGAATGTCCAAAGCCTCACAAAGCTTCCAGCGGAGGTAGGCAGCAATGAGATCCTGCATCTGCCTACTCCATGCAGCGTGAAGTTCTCGGTTACGATGCAGTCGACTGCGAGGCACCCGACGACGATGATGTTTGCCTTGAAAACTGTATGAACCATTAATTGCGATACCGCACAGTTTTCAGAACTCACCAATAGATAACTCATGCCTGCGCAGCGCCAACCGCTGAACCCTCACATCCACCTACTGGGTTGCCTTCTGATTCTTCCTCATCTCCTTCCTCCTCATGCTCATCCTCTGCCTCCATGTTGTCCCGGTCGCTATCCATGTCGAAATCTCCGAAATAGTGAGTGTCTGTATTTGTGGTACCTGCCTCAAGCGCTGCCTCAGCAAGAAGCTGACGTGCAGAGGCATTGGCTGCTGTTTTTTTGGTAAAATCAGTTTGAATTGAGACATACAACAACTTGCTCACCAATTTGACCCTGAAGCTGCTCCCTCTCATAAACGATGCAATCCGCTCGCAACTTTGTAAGGTTGGAGCGTAAGGTCCTGAGATCACCAGTAGATTGTACAACAGACTCCTTGACATGGCAGATAGTCGACAGTTTAGTCCATTTGCGACCCATGAGCTAACGTGGGAATGAGTAAACAGTCCCAGAGAACCCCAAGGACCTCTGGCACCACCCTACCATGTCAGCATCACATTAGAATACATCACATAAAACATTGTATAAACACTGTACACACCTGCAGATGATAGCATAAAAATGAGAAGGATTGCTTACTATTGCCAGGG